CATGATAAACGTAAAATTGTTAAGCATGAGAACCTTGAGGATTTAGATCCCAAGAGAAGTAATAAAATCAGGAAACCCTCAGATTTCAGCCCTGATTTGCAGATGTATCTTTTAGAAGATTTAAAGTTACCAAGATGTCATGTCCCCATGTGACACTCCCTTTTGGAGGGAGGCATCCAATGATGAGATGGAATCTAGATTAGAAAATGACACTTCAATATGGATTTACCTCCTGGTGCTAAGCCTTTAGGCAGTAAATGGATTTTCAAAAAGAAAACTAAGGTGGATGGTCTTATTGAGAAATATAAAGCAAGATTGGTTGCAAAAGGATTTAAACAAAAAGAAGGTATCAATTTCTTTGACAACTATAAACCTATTGCATTTATAGCTACCATTCGAGTACTCAATACCTTGGCTTTGATATACCATCTAGAGATTCACCAGATGGATTTCAAAACAACTTTTCTACATGGTGAACTACATGAAGAAATTTATATTGAACAACCAGAGGGATTTGTCCTTAAGGGACAAGAGCACAAGGTCTATAAACTCGTGAAATCCCTGTATGGTTTGAAGCAAGCACCCAAACAATGGAATGAAAAATTTAATAGAATTGTTTTTATCACACAAATTTCAGATCAATGATGTTGATACGTGTGTATACGCCAAGGTTTGTGATGGTGCGATAGTTATTATTTGCCTATATGAAGATGATATATGCTCATACTAGGCAGCAATACTGCATGCCTTGAGGAGACTAAGAAACCGTTGTCTTCTGAATTTAATATGAAGGACATGGGGCAACCTGATGTGATACTTGGAGTTAAAATAGTGAGGACACTGACTGAGTATGTTTTGACCCAGAAAGGTTTAATCACTTCGATTGTAAACCAATTTCAACCCCATTTGATGCTCATATTAAACTCAGAAAGAACCGTGATGCCCCTATTTCCCAATTGGACTATGCAATAGTCAATGGATGTCTAAATTATGCAATGCCATGTAATAGCTTAATATCGCCTTTGTCGTGGGTTAGCTGCGCAAATATACTAGTAACCCAGACCAAGAGCAATCGTATGAGGTCTATAGGGTCTTGATATATCTCAAAGGTACCATAGACTATGGCCTACATTATGTAGGTGAGCCCATTGTATTAGAAGGATATGGCTATGCAAACTGGATTACAGATTCTGATGAATCCATGTTTACTAGCAGATGGATCTTCGCCTATGGTGATTGCTTGGGGTTCCAAGAAGCAAACTTGCATCGAATCGGAGCTAATAGCCTTGGAAGTCGCCAGCAAAGAGGTTGAGTAGCTAAGGAACTTATTGGTAGATGTACCACTTACTTCAGGGCCCATGCTTGCATTGTCAATATGATGTGACTAGGAAGCAGCAGTATACCAGGGTAAAAGGAAGATTTATCCTGGAAAATCCAAATATATTCGTTTAAGGCACAATCAGTCGAGACTTTTACTGGAAGATGGAGTAATATCAGTACTTCATGTTTACTTTAACCATAAACTGGCGAATCCACTAACCAAAGGCCTTGCAAGGGACCAAGTCTGGAAGACAGCTAGAGGTATCGGATTGAAGCCTATTTGTATTATGCCACAAAGTGATAGGAACCCTACCTAAGGACAAGGAGGTCACAAGTCTAAAGTTTAAAGGGAGAAACAAGTCATTCATATGATATCTGACGTATGTTTGTACCAAGAATTTTATTTAATAGAAATTTATAAATTTCTGCTTCATCCCTGGTATATGTTACAATTACTGCATTGAGTGGAGAGGTTGAGCATTGCTCTTAATGATTCGATTTTCCTAGATGATTTAACGCCTAGGCTCGAATGTTTCACTCCATAACATCCTCCATGGACTCACCTCTATGGGTGTATACGTGGAGACCACTCCCTATAGCAACTGGGCATTCCCTAAAGCGCTCATGACAAACAGTAAGGGTGCAAAGCCTTAAATGCGGAAGCCTTTTAAAAAATTACAGCTTTTTGAAAGAAAATGTGTGGTATGTAGGAGGCTCATCAGGTTCCTCCACTCACTGTCCTGACAAGCATTCTACATAACACTATGTGAAAAGTTCAAGTCTATAAAACACCCCATTTTTCCTTTCTGTTATGTTTTGAGTATGTCCTATTTGTTTTGAAACAAGTGGGGGTTTGTTGTTTTAATTATTTTGCTGTTTCAAAATAAATATCTTTTTATTATTTTTTATTGAGGGACCACTTCATTATTTGTGGTCATGGAGGACCACCATGTTTTTGGATTTTTTTCTTTTTTATCACCTTTCTTTTCTCTCTCATGAAGCATGAGGTGTCTCATGAAGCATGACATGCTTTTCTCTCTCATGAAGCATGAGGTGTCTCATGAAGCATGACATGCTTTTCTCTCTCATGAAGCATGAGGTGTCTCATGAAGCATGACATGCTTTTCTCTCTCATGAAGCATGAGGTGTCTCATGAAGCATGACATGCATTTCTCTCTCATGAAGCATGACATGCTTCTTAAGAGTCTTACACATTTGTCTACCTCGTGAGATGGAATCATAAGACACTTTACTCATTCCTATCATAACACATATATTATGTGTGTTTCTTTCATCTCAGGATATATAAAACCATACACACATTTTGAAAAGACTTTTTTGAACTCGACGTCTTTCCCATAGTTCTCTCTTTCCCTCTCTCTATCTCTCTCTCTCTCAAATCAACTTTATGCTCTCTCGCACAATTATCAGTGAACTTTTATCAGTCCTATATTAATGGAGTGATACCATCTTCTCTTGTGATTCAAGCTTTGTTGGACACAAGAATTAAGTACCTTCTTATGGTAAAGGAAATACAATGGCCCATGTCTCTGTGTTTCCTAACATATCGATAGATATTTGATATTTTAATCTACAATGTTATTCCCAATCAAAATTTTGTGCTTATAATACCGATTGGAAGACCCTTTTGCTGGTTTTTTTTATGTGAGTTCTCTGAGAATGCAACTCAAAGACTCACGAAGATTTTAATCTAGCTGTATTCTGGGGGTGTGTTCACCAGGACTCTATTGCATCTCATAACTGTACCGGGAGGGGGTGATCAACACTTCGAAGAAAGCGAGCTCCTCTCATGCCTCTAGATCTTGGACATCCTTTATCACTTTGTATAACCGCTAAAATCAAATCTAATTCCTACAGAAATTTAATTGGGACTAGGAGTGTTTATGTCATCCTGTATAACCTTTAAAACCAAATATAATTCCTACAGTAATTTAATTGGGACTAGGAGTGTTTGGGAAATATTTGTACTGAAACTGACCCCGGATAAGGGGAGGCTCTGCCGAAATTTCAGGACAAGGGTGTAAATAAATCTACCAGTATGAACAGTACCCATGTACTGTACATGAACAGGACCTGTGAACAATAAATAAAAATGAAAAACATAAGAAACCCTAGAATCCCTAGAAAAAAAAACCTTAAAAATGGATCTTAACGCTAAAATTAAAAAAAATACATCTATTGAAATTAAACAAATTAAAAATTAGAATAATTTTGTCTTGCATCAGCGGTAATGTCAAGAATTTGGTTGTTATCCTCACAAGCCTTCAACCCTCCACAAATATCCTTTAACCTTGGCTAAACTCTTAACTAGTGGGCTAACTCCGACTGGACAAGGGACAACCCACTAACCCTAACAGTCGAGGTGTACGGGGCCTCTTATCCACCTGGAGCGCAGGCCTTATGTCTTTTGACTGACACAAGCCCAGACGTAGAAGGCCAAATCCAGCATGAGTCCAATGGTGCTCATGCCCTCCTGCTCTTTTGGGCTCTTTCATCCATAGTCCCTACTCTAAAGCATCTTTCTTCCTTAGAGCATCATCCCACATAGACAAACTCAAGCCCCCAAAAACTGTGGTGTCTCTCTTTTATTACACAAAATAATACAAAAGGCGAAGCCTTTAAAGGCTACAAAACCCAACACACATATATGATGCTGCATGAGTCGATGTACATTTGAGTTTCTTTTATGAACAATATACTAACTGATTTGTATTTGGAAATTCATATTTGATTTTGTGTTGTATACATCTAGAACATCATAATTATTAAAGAACACTGGATAGTCATGAGTAAACAACAGAGTTGAATTGGTTTCCAGGAATAGAAGGTGATAAAAGCAAAACTTGCTAATGCGAGCGAGTGAGAGGGGGGAGGGGAAGAGAGAGAGAGAGAGAGAGAGAGAGAGACATGCAGCAGATCTTTACACAGGAAAACAGAGCAATATCATGAAACAACACATGATATTGGTTATTACAACTTTGGGATCCTACTAGAGGGTGAATGCATCTGCATTGATGACAGGTATAAGATTACTGTGTTGAGAATTGGGGGTATAATTTAAATCCATCAATAAGTTTGTCAATATGTTGTAAAAATATTGGTACTTCACCTTTTCCAAAGCTACTGAAACAAAAACAATGTCAGGAGGTCAATCCAACGTTAAACCACTGAAATTGATGTTGGCTACTTTGTACTAACCAATCACAATCTTATTTTCTTATCAGTTGCTTACTCAACTTTCCAGTAGTTTCATGTGAATAGAAGAATACTACTACTGTGAATATATAACCAGTAAAGATCTTCACCACTTAGTTTCACATGACCCACATTCTTATGTCTGAAAAAATATTCAGAACGTCTTAAATACTTCTATTTGATCTTAAGATGTTAAAAACATGCACAAAACAAGTAGCTAGAATCCACCAAACCAAAGGAAAAGCAAGTCCTAACTGCCTGGATCTCTGAGTAGATTTTAAATTATAGTTGAAATTTCAATCCAACAGTTAACCTTACACTTATGGAACGGCTACACTTATCCTTACAAAGGATGCAGCATCACACAAAACTTGGACATTGTTAAGACTATTTGACAAATATTTACATAATATGTGCTAGAATTGAACATAAAGAACAAAGAAAAAATCATGGATAATACATACCCCAGATAATTCTAGCAAATGCGTATCATTGATTTTGAACGTGAATAAGCTCGGCATTGGTTCTACAATCGAATGTCCAAGTTGAACTGCAAGACTGTGACCCTGTCGAGCAATTACAGCCAAAACAGAGAGAGACTGATGAACAATTCCCTTACAAAAAACTCAATATAAGCACAAGTATGATAACTAAAGCTACAATTAGACGAACCTGACGACTACTGCCAGTGGCTATCAACAAGTAATCTGCTTCAACTGCTTCAACCAAATCAACACTAAATTTCTCAATCTTGAGAACAAATTTCCCATTGACAGCACGGGATGCACTAGTCACAACTTTGCCTGTTTGTAACAAAACTGACAAAGTAAAATTCCATCATCAATATCTGAAATTAAGGAGCCACGGATAAATATTGATTATATTAGCGACAAAGGCAAGCAGATAGTTAGGAAGAGAAATGATGAACCTATCATAAACTGTAGCCACATGTAACATGTTGGGATCTGTGGCCTTTAATGGCCTTGCCACTTGGTTTTTGGATCAAAGCTCTCATATATTCCCCTATGTCCAGGTACTCGTGTGATTTGTACTCACTGGGAATGTGGCTCTACTTGGGCAAACGAGACCATTAGAGTGATGAGTACTCCCTCCATGAATGAAAGAGGCCATGAGAGTGCATTTTACTCAAGCTTTTATGCTTTAAAATGTTCTAAGTTCTAGTGGGAGCTTTGAACTCACATGGATGAAACAGGACACGTGAACCAACTGTACTTGAAAGCAAAAGACCATTAGCATAGACAACCTGCACTTGGATGTGACATGCACCAGGAACGAGTAGGCACTACTTGAATGAGACAAGCCATTAGAGCTAGTTGGAAATGCCTCGATCTAGAACATAGTGGGCTCCCTCACTCTCGCATTGGTGTGTGATTAGGCCTTAGCTAGATAAATGGGCCCACACCCTGGGCCAGAAAGGCTTAGACTCTCTAATAAGCATTGCTGGAGAGTGTTTATGGGGTATCTTGTCGAGTTCGGCAGCACCTGGTGGTTGATGTTATTTGGCCAGCAGATGAAATAGGTTACTCTGTGCTAGGATGGTAGCTGATGAGAACAAGTGCCTGAAAGCCTCAAAAAGGCATCCTACACTGCATGTATGCTGCTGGTCACCTTTTTTTGGTCTGGTGATGGATCATTAGCATGCACATGCCTGAGAAAGACTCCTTGTGCAAGGGGGAAATCTGGAACTTTTGTGCAGTAGTTGGCAGGTGGACCAGACTCTAAACTTGTCCTTGGAGAAAGCACTTGGAATTTACAGCTTTTTGTTGATTGTGGCACTTCAATGCCTTGGCCAGCTCTGATAGGTCAATCATGTGCTGTTTGCATAGTCATGGATTCGTTGGGTTGGTTCAAGGTCTAGATATGGTCAGAGGGTAGTCATGGAGAACCTGGTAGTAGGATCTAGTTTCAATGCTAGCACACTCTTCTATGGTTTTTAAAGAGGCTTTTCAAAGGGCTTCTAAAAAAAGTTTTAATCTCTATTGAACTACCCACATGTTATGTTATGATTTTGTTTTTGAAAGAAGGAACTTTTGGAATAAAAGAATGTACTCTAAAACAGGGGCAATTTTGGAATAAAATATTTGTGCCACTAGTCCTAAATTGGATAGTCGAATGTTTGGGGCCAACTTTTATAGACAAGTTACCACATGTTTTCACTTTTCGACCACGTGGACCCCACTAGCCATGGGGCTACATGGGAGTCAAAGTCAAAGAACTGTGCCTGATGGGCCTTGCTTTTGTTGTCACATGAATCTCTCCAATTTGGTGTCCAGGAAATAATCTCTCCAAGATTTCCTAGGTAGTTAACAGATTTCGTTAGAAGATATCTGGTTGATTACGAAATTTGAATAATCAAACATAGGTTGTCACTTAGAAGTTAGATCTAAGTATAGACACCCCATTTTAAATCTGGCAAATTCTATGGTTTCTGAACCCTTAAAACCACATTATCCTAGTAAACCCAATTTAATTACCCCAAAACTACCCAAATCTTATCTCAATTTGAAGTAGAGTCCAAGAGCTTTCCAACGGTCTAAGAATCGTCTGAATCTGACATACGGATAAAAAGATATAACAAATGATAATTTAGTCCGTGTGAGACCCAACTGGCGGGCTGCGGGCCGGGCTGTAACAGGCCCAACAGGCCCAGACGTGGGCCGATGATGCAGTCAACGCATCTGATGATGCAGTAAACACGTTTTCTTTAATTAGATAATCCAAAAACTTTTGAAAAAACTCCAAAACATTTAGGAAAAATCACCAATTGCCCCCTCCCCCTAACTCAAAAGGAGAGAGAAAAAGATACCAAAAATAACCCTAGAAATTCCCAAAATTAGGAAAATTACCAAAAAATACCAAAAATAAGAAAAACCCTTAGAAATTTCCTAAAAATTTAGGAAAAATCCCAAAAAATTAGAGAAAATCTCAAGATTCATATTCAACCTCTGGAGATCACAAAACCCTTAGAAAACTAAGGAAATTCTCTTCCAGACCAAGAGAAAAGACCGACAGCTTTAGAAAAATCTCTAAATTGAAAACCCTAGAGAAGATAGAAACCCAAGCCTCCTAAAGTCCTAACCCCCCAAGACTGAGAAAACCTATACCTAGGGCTCAAAAACCCTAAATCAAAACTAGAATTAGGGCACAACAACCCTAGAGCTAACCATTTACACCAGAGATCTGCTGGTCAAAAACCGAATCAGAGAGGCAAAGAGGACCGGTTCTGATACAGGCGAGCCCTCGAAAGCTCGAGAATCCCGAGCCATCCGACCCGATTTGGTATTATATATTCCTCTCTTCATTTTACTGTTGTGCTTCTTTAATTTATTTTGATATGTTAACTCCTCTTAAAAATCGTATTTTAATGCTCTGGATCATGCTGGCTCTACCACAGATCTGAGAGCAGATCAGCTCGTTTCCAGGCAAATCTGGCCTCAGATCTGAATTCGATTTGTCCCACTTTCTCTACCACTTTATTTACATCTTTTTAATTAGTATAAGGTGTTAAAAGTCGAGAGATTTTCATCGGAAGATCTGTCAGATTTTCATCGTAAACAGTTTAGCGCCCACCGTGGGGCTATTTCAAGCTTGATTCAAGCTTCAAAATACGATTTTTATTCACTATTTTTCACTGCTTTCAGTCACAAAAGATCCCAAAGGTCGGCTATGACCAGAATTCAGGGTTTTGGTGCTCCGAAAACCTGCTTTTTCGGAGTTACACTCGCAGTGTCGCCCAAATTCAAAGGTCTAAGAAACCTCTGGGACTTTGTGGATCTGCTCTAGGGCCACTTTTGTGACTGCACAAAAAAATTCAAATCAAAATAAAATTTTAAAAAAATACAAAAAAAATATTTTTTCGTTCAATCTGGGCTTTTCAGTTTTACTTTTTTTTAATTTATTTCATTATAAATATTTTTATTTCCTGCTTCTTCCAAGTTTAGAGTAGTCTTATTTCATCAAGATTAACAAGATAAAAATATAAAAAAAATAAAAAATAATAATAATTTCTTTTGGACGACACCAGCTGTGTCGCCCAACCAGCACACCAGTAATGCCGCCTAGGCGACACGGGTGGTGTCACCCAACTGCAAGTGTACCACAAAATTTTGGGAGCCCACAGAACCATTCCAAGGACTTTTGGCTCCATATTGACGAATTTTTTACCTAAAATAAAATTTTTAAAAATATAAAAAAAAAAGATTTTGCTTCACATAGATCTGTTATGTTTCTGCCCTTTTTATTTTATTTTAGTTTGTTAATTTTGACTGAAATCATATTTTCCGTGCTTTCACCATGCTTAGGTTAACTGTGTTTCATCAAAATTAAAAAGATCAAAAAATTTAAAATTAAAAAAAAATACATTAGGGTTGCTTACCCCTCCAAACCTACACCCACTCTTAGTCTGAGCCGAGACTCGTACACCATCTAGTCTAGATCTTAGTCTAAGCTCTAACATAGGTCTACGCTTAAGAGTTGCCTCTAGAGCTAGACTAGGCTTACCCTAGTTCAGGGTCTTAACCAAAATCCATTGAGTCTAGTAAGTCTAGATTCCATCTAGTCTTAGCTTAGGTCGTAGCTAAGGTTTTTACCCTTAGTCTCGGGCTAGGTTTGCCCTAAGTCGTCGAGTTCAAATCTTACCTAAGTCTAGATTTTAGAACCCAGCCAAAAGCAATCACCATGTCAGTCACTCAAGGCGACCAAGATGACTGCTCCACGGCCTACTCTAAGCCTAATCTGCCCAAGCCTAGAGACCAATATGCTGCAATCCCTTCGAGTTATCGACGGACCTCAAGACAATCCATTATCCAACGCCCAAGTCTTCAATTAGAGGCAGAGTCCCAAGCATCCACTCCTAATCCTGAGATCTGTGTGGCCCAGAGAGCCGGCTCCGCCCGAACAACCTTGAATAGTCAGGGAGTCCGGCTAGGCATCGTCCTACAGGGGATTTTAGGCAACCAAAGTAGAAGTCGAACCAAGATAACTCTATGGTGCAGCGATCTCAAAACCAAGACCCACCTAGGTCTAGGGGATCTAACCCAACCTCGAGCCACCATAGTATAGCTCATGATGTCCTGAACAGCGTACGAAGCAGAGGTGTCCACTCAAACCGACCCTTAAGAGAGATAGGCGTCCAAGCTGCCCTCAAAAGTCTAGTTGACCTAGGTTACACTGTTCATGCCTCAGCTTACGGGTCGATCCCAAACCAAGTTAGCGGTATAGGTCAACCCTTAGAACAGCCGAGTCAGCCGATTCTTCAATCGGTCCCTCTGGTTCATCCGACCCAACAAACCGTGCAATTTTCGCAACAGGTGGCGACACCTATAGGTCAGTACACCCCTCAGGCACCAATGTATCAAACCGCCCTGGTGACTGCGGCTCATCAATCTCAAGCCCATGCAGGCCAACATATACCCCAAATTTCAACTTATCAGTCTACGCTTGGGAACCCACCAACCAGTGGGCCCACTGCCATGCCAAATACTCAACAAGAAGACTCCTTAAAAGCAATGCAGGATATGCTTGTAAGAATGGGCATGCATGAAATTCTACCCGCAAAGGCCTATGCTCATGAGACCCTTAGAGGCATGGAAGACCTTCCCCAGGGATTTGTCGTCCCAGAATTTAAAAACAGGTTCAATGGGAAACGATCCAGATACTCACGTCAACGCGTTCCTCCTCTCCGCTCGAGCTTTGCGGGATAGGCCCAACCAAATGAAGGCCATCTTTTCACAAACATTGACTGCTGAGGCCCTGAATTGGCATCGGAGAACATTGTCCACTCGATCACACATCACTC